TTATTCAAAATGACAATTTATTTCACTCTGGATATGAAAGAACATGTTCCAAATTTAAGGTGGCATTCATCCTGTTAATATATTACGAGTTAACCTAGAACTGTTGCTTGTTACTAGCAACACTAAAGCAAAAGATGAAATTTAAAAAATGCAGAAAATAAAAAAATCATAGAGAAATGGAGATAGAGATCTGATCAAAATAAGTCCGAAGCCTAATTTACCTATGAACGTTACATGTACATGGGCCAAAAAGTTTCTTGTAAAATTTAGAACAATTTGAATTATTTTTGAATATTATCTAGTAATCTGTTACATGACAATAGATAACTAATGCACTGATTCATACATGTATAAAGGGATATGCCAGAAAAGTATTTTAATACTTTTGTTCATTGGTTAAAGCAGTACCAATTTCTTTGTATGCTATTTCTTATGTTTCTCATGGAAAAAGGGCCAATTAGGATGCTTTTGCCTGCTAATATAAACACATTTGTGGAAGACAAATTTCATATATCAAAATAAGCCATCAACTACAGCAAAACAAAGTACTGTATTGAAGCTGAAGGAATTTAAAACCACCCACTCTTCAGTAATAGGATTTTGTATCATTAGACACAGCTGCTAACAAAAATTAATTTCGAGTTAAAAGGCAACAACGAATGAGTTCATAAAATCTAAATTTATTTTCCATCAGCTGAAGTTAATAGTTGGACCAGATTTGAAATTTGTGGATCCTAATTTTTGAATATGTCTGTATAAGGGTTGAGAAAAAAAGATTTAATAAATAAAGAACATGTAAACATCACTGTTTGGACTGAGTTGTATATAATCTGTATGGAGAAAAAAATGAAACAGAGAGCTAAGGCAAATATTCATATCGAAATAATGACATGCAGTTGTTTAATATATGAGCTCTGGTGACGGTAGAATCTTTTAGACTCGTAAGATGAATAAGTAAAATAGCTTCTCCTGACTTTGGCTCCCTTGAAACTATAACTGGCATGCAAGCCATGATATAATCTCATTGCACTGTATTGATTAGGTGGACTGCATTCTCAAGTTTAGTGCACACAACAGGAAGAAATAGGATATTTTAGGAAAAATGGGAAATATATAGTGTGGTGACCACAGAATTGTGGAGTGAGTGATAAATTTGTCGGGCAATTAAGGTGTTTGGAGAAATAAGAGGCAAAGCATATTCATGTATTTAATGAGGTTTTATTAACCAAGTTCCATGTGTTAGAAAAATTACTAAGTATTTAGAAATACTATGATAACCAAAGATAAAATAGATCTGATTCCCAGACCTGATATTTTCACAATCTAATGAAGCTAAATAACATCGTAATAAAATGTAAGAGGTATTATTTTTAAGACTAATAAGTGATAAATGATATACGTCAGGTATACATGAAGTTACAGGACAGACGAGAAGGAGCTGTAAAATTCGAATGAAAATTTGGGAAAGATTTCACAGATGTTGCGATATTTGAAATAGTACTTAAAAGGAAATAGCTGTTCGTAAAGCGGAACAAAATGAGCGTTGAAAGGATTACAAAATTATTGAAGCAACATGGCCTGTTTGAGGATCTGTGACTAAAAGGTGATATATGTTTTTCAGAAGATTAAGCTGAGAACAGAAAGGGCCAACTCTTACAAAACAAAACAAAACAAAACAAAACATTAAAGTGCTTTGTGGAGTTCATTTCTTAGGCACTTGGGACATTTTGCAAGTGAATGTGTGTGTGTGTGCGCGCGCAGGTGCTCATGTCCATGTGCATGTGTGCTTGTACATGCCCATAAAATTGATACTAAGTACTGCTATGACATAAATCACACTGTGATTAGAAACAATGTTTTTAACTTTAATTTACGTTAGAGTCACACAATTTGTGGTTCTTAAACTTTGATGTGCATGAGAATCACCTAGAGGGCTTGATAAAACCTAGAAGACTGGGTCACAACCTGTTTCTAGTTTTGGGGTGCCAAGATATTTGGTCAAACATTATTCTATGCATTTCTTTGAGGGTGTTTTGAATAAGATTAATATTACTGATAAATTGAATAGAGCAGACTATTCTTTGTAATGTGAATGGGCAAAGAAAACATGCAAATGACAAATAAGCATATGAAAAGATGTTCCACATAAATACCATCAGGGAAATACAAGTTAAAACAACAAAATACCACTATATATCTATCACGATGGTCCTTATTAAAGCCCCCCTGTCATCAGCAGTACTGACAACACCAAATGCTGACGTGCATATGGAGTAGCATGAACTCTCATTCATCGCTGGTGGGAATAAAAGATGGCACCACCACTTTGCAAGACTGTCAAGTTTTTACAAAACTAAACAAATTCTTCCCATATGATCCAGCAATTGTACCCCTGGGCACAAAAGACTAAAAACTTCTTTCCACACAAAATCCATTACATGGATGTTTATTGCAGCTTTATTCATCACTGTCAAAATGCAGAAGCTACTAAGATGTCCTTCAGGAAGTAAATAAATAAATAAACTGTGACACATTCAGACAAGGAGATAATATTGAGTGCTAAAAATAATTGCATTCTCAAGCCATGAAAAGACAGGGGAACTGAGCTCTCAAGCCATAAAAAACATGGGGAAACTTAAATGCATGTTACTAAGTGAAAGAAGCCAATCAGAAAGGGCTACATACTGTGTGTTTCCAACTATATGATCTTCTGGAAAAGGCAAAACTATGGAACCAATAAAAAGGTCATTGGCTTCCAGGGGTTAGGGTAGAGAGAGGTAAATAGGCAGAACATAGGGGATTTTCAGCACAGTGAAAATACTCTGCATGGTGCTATGATGATGAATATATGTCATTATATATTTATCCAAACCCAATGAATACTAAGTTAACACTAAGTTAAACTATAGACTTTGGGTGATTATGATGTGTCCATGTATTTTACTGATGGGGGGATGTTGTTAGTGGAGGACGCTAAGCACGTGTAGGTACAGAGGGTATATGGGAAATCTCTGTACCTTCCTCTCAATTGTGCTGAGAACCTAAAGCTGCTCTAACATAGAAAGCTTTTTTAAAAAAAATCTGATCTGAAAAAAATTATCAACTACATTTCCAAAAGAGACTATACTAGAAAAGACAGATAACGTGATTGATGTTGAGGTTAACACTTAACAAACAAATGTACATGGAAGAACCCCCAACAATATTTAATGGGCACTTAGGTCAAGTAATTGGTGCATGAATGTACACTTTTCTAAACACAGTCTCAAAATATGGCTATAAAATCTTAACTAGAGCTCATTCTTCCAATATACTTGTTTATGATTAGAATTAAATTACATTTTAGTATTGCTCATTGAGGTGTCTCTAAAGTTTTTTTTATTACTATCTATAAAATTCAGAATATTATAATTTACTGTACTCTTTTACTTAGTAGATATGTATTAACTGATTTCTTAGATGAAGTCCTAACAAATAGTAAAAAAAATCTTGGTAAGTATATATTTAAGGCATTCCTTTAATAAAACTGGGCATTTCCTTCAGTAATGATTACACATAATATAATTTTCATGCTATACATGAACTCATAATCATAAATTAGTTTCTACTCAGTACCAATATTATGTGGACTGAGGAGAGATTTAGAACAATCTAAAGTATAGTTTCTGATCAAAACACCTCTAGAGTTGAACTTGAAGTTATTTTAAAATGAGTTTCTATAGTTTCTGACAAATATCATTCTCCTCAGGGATTCTTCCCTTCTATATTCTATACTTGGAGCCTGTTCCAAAAGAATGACACAGTCTTTTCTGGTTCTTTTTAATGTCCTCATCAATTCATCTTGGATATATTAATCCATCCATTCCTTTACTTTTTTCAACTAATTGTCAATGAGCCCTTACCATTTGACAGTCATTAAACTGTTCTCAGGTGACAAAGAACATGCAATTCTACACCTATTCTGATTATTCTGAAAATAAAAATTAACCAGAATGATCACAAATGAACCCACTCATGTATCCTTTATAAAACCCATTTAAAAGTAATTAGTGAATGCTTATTTTCAAAGAGAATATTATGTAGAAGAAATTATCTAAATGAAAGCCACTTGAGCTAATATTGCAGATGCAAAAACATGAAAAAATCAGGTAAACTAGAAAAGACTAAAGTAGTATAATTATTGATTTGTTTAAAAGGACATTATAAAAGTGCATAAACCACAATGAGCCATCACCCCACACTGACTAGAATGACTATAATCAAAAAGATATATAGTAATAAATGTTAGTAACAACATAGAGAAATTGAACTCTCATACATTCCCATTGGGAATGTAAAATGTGTCCATTCTGGAAAACAGCCTGGAAATTGATTTCATCAAATGGTTAAATATAGTTTCCATAGCTCACTCCTAGATATATACCCAAGAGAATTAAGACATGTCTATGCAAAAATGTTCACATTAATAGTCACAGCAACGTTATTCATATTAGGCAAAAAATGGAAACAACCCAAGTGTCTATTAAGTGATAAATAAATAAATAAAATGTGGTTTAGCAATACAATGGGATTTCTTTTTATCAATAAGAAAGAATGAAGTAATGACACATACTACGATGTGGATGAACTTTGAAAACATTATGCTAAGTGAAATGCGCCAGTCACAAAAGACCACACATTAAATGATTCTTTTATGTGGCATAGCAATAATAGGCAAATCCAATGTTATAGACTGAATGTTTAAGTCCCCCAAAATTCATGTTAAAACTAAGTGTTCCATAGCGTCAATTCTCCACCACTATGCCAGCATTAAAGTAAAGAGGTATGTAATTTATTCGCTGCATCTGACACCAAGTAAAATTGTATCTAATACACTCTGTGCACTCTGCTAGATCTTAGCATCAAAAATAAAAATGGTGAGAGCCTTACTCATGAGAAAATTTCAATATAAATCTTCATGTACCAGTGACATCTTTTTCTATAATATATAAGTAGTTTACCCTTTTCTGAAGCAGCAACTGTGATATTGTACCACGGAGTTTCTTCTCTATCAAGAACCTGTGTTGTCTTAATAGTTCCAGTATGAGCATCAATATTGAAAAATCTGTCATCTTCACCATTGTAGTCGATGAAGTATCTAGAGAAGAAAATAGATAAATCTTCTTTTCACATGATCTTATAATAAAGACAATAAAACTGAATCAAGGGAGGTATCTTATTTACATATTTAAATGTATATATTTAATTTCTATGTTTGGCTCTTAAGATTTGTCAGACAAATTTATATTTGCACAGAACTGACATCCATTAAATTTATCTGTCAGTCTTTAATGCTATGCTTAGTTCAATTACTAATTCAAAAAAGAAAAAAAAACTTTACCAAATTTCATGAATAAAATAGTAGACAGTAGAAACAGTAATTAATAAGGAAGAAATAATTTTTAAAAATCACCTCTGGGAAGTCTATAGTACATTGGAAGAAAAAAATAAACATATAATGCAATTGCTCATTGTTATATGTACAAACATTTTAGGATAGCAAGGATGTTTGAGAATAATTTACCTTAGAGTTTCATTATAGCTGAGGTTTTAAGATAAATATAAAATGAAAAACAAAACATTTCTATTAATTACCATTGTAGTTCCATCATCTAGGACCCTTCCATAGTCAAAGAATGAGAAATGAAATAAATGGGAGGTAGGTTGCTTCGCCGGCCACAAATCCTCTTCCCTCTCCAATGCAAGTGGTGTGTGGGGCAGGGCCCTCTCATATCAGCTTTGGCCTCCAGCTTACTTTGGCAATACAATGAGGTAAAAACAGTGGTGTTCTATGCTATGTTTGGGCCTAGGTTTCATGAGGCTTTGCATGTTTCCTCTTATGCTCTACCACTGCAACAAGAAGTCATGCCAGAGCTAGTCCACTGGTCCCAGAAAGAAGATGAGAGACACATGGGCAGAGCTGTCCCAGTTCAGGTCCCCAATCTAGAGTAGAGCTACCTACTAAGTGAGCAGATGTATTATTGAATGTGCTGGAGACGAGCAGAGCCCACAAACAAAAGGCAGCCTAGTTCAGATGATGTTCACAGACACACAAAGTCACAGATGCACACGCTACTGTTATAAAGTACTTTTTTCTATACCCCTGAGTTTTGGAGTTTTACATTATTCAACAGTAGTTAATTAATGTAAATATGAATAAATAATATAGTGAACAATCATCATATGTTCTAGAAATGTTCCAAGCCATTCTAGAACTATTTAAGGAGAGAAGTGTTTTTTTTAAATTAAATCTCTAATACTTCTTCTCTTTTTATTAGTCTCAGCTTAAGTAAGATTTTATCTGTATCTGAAGAAAAAAATAAATTATTATATGAAAAATGCCAGGATAAGAATATCTGAATATAGAACACCAAAGTGCAAAGATCCAAATTAAAGAAAAAGCTTGACTTGGTTTGCAAATAAATGTTTGTTTCGATGCGGCTAGCAGAATGAACTAGGTGAATGGCCACGGTAGTAGGACAACTAAGCCCTGCAGCACATAGTAAAGAGTTTTAAATTTTTAAAATAAGTAATGGGAGCAATTTTAAACAAAGGAAATAATCTATTACGTTCTGGAAAAAGTCATAGTGAGTATTTTAAATCTTAGATTGTAGAAATTTAAAAACAATTTAGAAAAATATTGCCATCTTGGACAAAGGTGGGAAAAAAAGAAAGTAGAAATTAGTGTATAAAATAATGCTATGCATCTGATATAGCCTATAGAAATTTTTGTTGAAGTGAGATTAGTAACGGGAGAAAATTATAAATGACTCCATTTGTGTATGTGTGTGTGTGTGTGTGTGTGTGTGTGTGTGTGTGTATTTGGTCTGCCATGTAATCAATAAGTCCATTTACTGATCTGGATAAAGACACAAGAGAAAAAAAAAAACACACTTTGGGAGAAAAATAATTTGGGAGAAATCAATCATTTTGACATAATATGCCTTAGATATCAATTAATAAAAAGCAGAGAATAAGATATGATTGTGGGGTTCAAGTGTGCTTTCTGAACAGGAAATATAAATTTGAGGTATATCGGCCTAAATTTTAGGTAATGGGGACAGTACAGCCTCATCTGGGAGAGAACTGTAAGAGGAAAGTGAAAGATTGAGCATCACAGCGCACGACCTTTTCAGTCGAAAGCAGCCCAGCATCTGTAGAAGAGAAGGTGCTAGTAAAATGCAAGGAACAGCCCAAGGGAGGAGGAAAACCGGGAGAATGAGGTGGCACAGAAGCCAAGGAAAGAATGGTTTAAGTCAACAGCGACGGTGAATTTTATTAAGACGTCGAGTGAGGTCAGTCAAGGATGATTGGCTTTGGCAGGATAAACAAGATGGGTTAACCTGGAAAGAGTAATTTCAAGAAGATACGAAAGGATAGAAGTTGTATTATAGTGGATTCAGTATTTGGATGTGACATATAAGGCCCATGGGCCATGACACTTTGTTGAATATCATTACCTGAAACAGAGGTCAGAAAAATGTGGCTTATGTCATCAGAGAAGTGAGTTTGACAAATTCATTTTTTCTGATAAGAGAAATATTAAGTGCTGTTTTTCTTAGGGGGAAAAAAAAAAGGTCATTTTGAAAGAGTGAAATATCTAAAAAGGTAAAAGTCATGAGAAGGTGAGTAGAATTGGGTTCCAGAGCACAGATATAAGGATTTCCATGGAAACTAACAGAGACACTTCTATTTTGGCATGAGCAAAATCTCAGAAATTGGGTATATATATAGAATAGGTAATTGTGGTGATGGGAATATCATGAAATTCATCTTACTTTCTGGAACAGAGTATAACTAGAACAGAGTACAAACCATGCCTTTCATAGGCATACTGTTAAGATATGTAGAACATACAACTAAGGTGTGAAACCCTACGACAACCTTTGGATACACAGACTCAAATGTGGCTGAAGATATTATTACCATGCAGACTGAGACTATTTAGTGAGCTCATTTTGTGAAATAACTGCTAAAACGGGACAGAATGTATTCACTTGTATCTGTGTGATCAAAACAAGGAATTGACCATTGTGTATTGATTGTTCTAGTAGTCATAACTACATGTTCATTGAAGAAAGTTCAACATGAAAAAAACAATTTAAACAAGAAGAAACACAGGTATAAAGCAAATCTGATTCAAAGAGACACTAGATTCAGACATTATAGAACAATGGGAAAGAGGTTTGTTGTCTTGCTTTCCAAAGCATTAGACCATGGTACACTGAAGCTGGTTTATTTTCTTTGATTTGAGTCTCTCTCTCTCTCGCGCGCGCGCGCGCACACACACACACACACACACACACAAACACACACACACACACACACACACATGGCTCTTCTCTAACTCAGAGAAGCTCTGAACTACTTCGGAGATGTGAAAAGTTTTGTCACATGAAAAGGATAACATCTTTAAAATGTAATCGGTTAGAAATCTGGTTATTATATTATCTAAAGTTAGTTACTACTAACCTGTCTTTAAAAAACTTTCTGTTTGTGGATGGATGTGGTATTCAAGAAAAAATTTTCTGTATAGAAAGTTGGACCTAAAATTGAAACTTATTTGACCTCAAAATTTTCCACAGCAACTATCAGTAAAGATCAGTGTACATTGCTATTGATACACCTTGTAAAATATGGCAGGATGTGTCCCATTTTAGAAATCTGATCATTTCATAACTGTCAGTCTGAAAGAAAACAGGAATTTCTTCTGCTTCTAAGCTGAATTAAGAAGCTGAAAATATATATTTTCTTTATCAGAGTATTCCCTCTCTTTTAGACACTTTACACAGAGCTTTAGTGGTTAAATACTTTTAGAATAAATACATTCTTTATTTGAATTAAAAAACATAAAACGCATGTGTAAATATTTTTTTAAATGATAAGTGTAATGCTAGGCACGTTTCCTCAGACTTGTGTTATTTAATTCTTAGTTTTCTGTGTGACCTAACTCCCTTGGGAAATCTACAACACAAGGGCTAGATACCGGCTATGCTTGAATCTGAAGAGCGTATTCATAGAGTTTCAATTGAATTTTGACTCAAGTAGAACTAAATAGTTCTGCTTAACTACCCTGGGACTTCTGCCTAGCCATAGAAATAAAAACTCAGAAAAAGGGAAAACGGAAATGTGAGAGGAAAGAAACTATTCAAAAGTATATTAAGGGAATGCTAACCATTTAACATTTGGAAGTGAGATGGCTCCATTAAACTGTTTATCAAGCAAACAATTTAAAAAATAAAAATACTCTCAGTAGGTAACTTTTCAAGTAATTTTCATAATAAAATTCATGTATTTCCTTTTACAAAAGGAAATTTATTTCAAAAAATAAATACAACATTTTAATACTTTATGAATACATATGCTTAGGTTTTTTGCAAATTCTAATATTAATTTGACATTTTGAGGAACATACAGCAAGTATAATATCAAGTAAATATTTGCCCAGATAATATAGATGCTAAATTGAGATTAATAATAAAACCTGAAAAATTAGAGTTTTGAGAATTTTTGATATTCTAGTCCATAGATATAAAAAATAAACCAGTATAAGCTGAAGCTGGAATATATATAACTAGACAAGCTGTTTAAAGATAGTCTTCAAATTCTACTTTCCCCTCAATATAGAATATATAGAGATGCTTTGTGAGACTGGTAGAAAACACTTATATACATGTATGAGTTATTTACAAAAACAATCCAGAAAAAGGTAATAAAAACTAATGTTTATGAAACACTTAAAATGTACTACATCGTGTTTTGTGTTTTCTAAATATTAGTTCATTACACTCAAAACAACCGTGTGAGATAGTTACCATTTTTACAGAGGAGGAAACTGAGGCACAGAGTGATGGAGAAATTTATCCAGCATCAAGGACCTAGTTAGTGCAATAGATTAAAATAAATATAGATCTATTAAGTAATATTTATAAACTCCTTTCTCAAAAAGTAGATAATATTTGAGGCTTTATCCATTCATTCAAAAATATTTATTTGAATGAGTAGAAGAAAGGAATAGTAAATACCAAATATAGAGGAAATGGCAAGACCTGAGAATTATTTAGACATAATTTATTTAGAGAAACAAGTAAGCAAATA